GTCCAAGATTTTTTTATCCAAAACAATAACTTTTGGATTAGGCCATACCTCATTAATAGAATGAGTAAGAAGGAACATGTCCTACTTGCTCTATTCGCATACAAAAGAAATAACAAAACTTGTAAATATAATCATGTAACCTCTCAAAATCAAACCATAACATTTATATGAAAGTTACACATCTTTATTTTATCTAAATTTAGTTATGATAACATTTCAGAATAAGGTCATGAGATGCGATAAATTTGTGATACTATTGTGAATATCAAAAAATTCACTTAAACATAAATAATTAAAAAATTAAACATAAATAAATTTGTGATACTATTGTGAATATCAAAAAATTCACTTAAACATAAATAATTAAAAAATTACACTTACTTTAATTTAACGAAACACATTACATATTTGCTTTACCATATCGGATCATCCTTATATTGTTCTAAATGACTTTTTATGTCATTTACATTTTCCAACTAGTTTATCAATTAATCTTTATTAGCTAACCGACTACATTTTAAACTAGCAGTTAGTTTTTAGTTATTCTGTCAAGTATAGTCTAAATTAGGGGTGAGCATTTGGACCGGTGGACCGGACCGGATCGGTAAACCGGACCGGACCGTTTTTTTGGACCCCCGGTCCGGTTCTCGGTTCTAAGATTTCTCGCCGGTCCGGTTTTTACCGGGTTTAGAACCGGTTGGACATGATTAAGATTTTTGTGACGTGTTTTAAACACACATAACTCATTCGTTTTAAGTCGGATTGACTTGCGGTTTTTTCCAACATTTAGTTTACAGTTTGTAGATGAATTTAAACTATAATTTTGTTTATTTTCGTATTATATTTACCGTGTTACAATCCTTCAAAGTAGAGCTATCAAAGCTGAAAAAATTCAGCTTTTCAGCAACATTTTGTAAGTTGTGACGTTTTTTAAAACACTCATAACTCATTCGTTTTAAGTCGGATTGACCTCTGATTTTTTCCAACATTTAGTTTACAGTTTGTAGACGAGTTTAGACTATAATTTTGTTTATTTTGGTATTATATTCACGGAGTTACAATCCTTCAAAGTAGAGCTATCAAAGTTGAAAAAATTCAGCTTTTTAGCAAGATTTTATTATCTGTGACGTTTTTTAAACACCCATAACTCATTCGTTTTAAGTCGGATTGACCTACGGTTTTTCGAACATTTAGTTTACAATTTGTAGATGAATTTAGAATATAATTTTGTTTATTTTGGTATTATATTCATTGAGTTACAATCCTTCAATGTAGAGCTATCAAAGCTGAAATATTTCAACTTTTTAGTATTAGTTTATATACTATAATTCCGAGTCCGCGTTTAGCACTTGTGGTAGAGTTGTAAGTGAGTATCAAACTAGTTTATCGACATTGATAGTTGAAGCTTTGTTATGTACCCAAGATTGGGTGATAAGGTTTACAAATCCGATAGTTGACAATGTTGATGACATCTTGAACGATGATGATATAGCTTTGGGTAAAAAAAATTACAATCTTTATTATTTTTTTATACAATTATTCCTTTTTATTAAATACTAACAACATTTTAATTTGTGTTTATGTAGAGATTGCAGAAGCTTTAAATATGTTACATATGGATGACAATGATATGGGGAAGAGGCCAATGGAAGATTAGATTATGAGTTTATGAAATTTGTTAGTTTGATTGATTTTAAAGTTTAAACTATGATTTTTGTTGTTACGGTAATACTTTTGTATGTTTGTCTTAAAATTGTTTAACTTTTGTTGGTGAACTTGATTTATATGTTAGTTGCTTTTATTTGAAAAATTAATTTTTGCAAATTGCAAGTTATAATATTATACATCAATGTAGATTAATTAGGCGTGAAACGAAAACATATTAATTTTGCAAGTTATAATATTATAGATCAATGTAGATTACTTATTATACTCTAAGCAATTAAAGTTGTACCGATCCAAACGGGTCCAAAAACCGGAAAACCTGGACCTGGACACGGACACGGACACGGACACGACTCATCCGGTCCGGTCCATGGTCCACAAAATTCTCCATAACCGGTCCGGTCCAAGAGCCGGTGGTCCGGGCCGGTCCAAATGCTCACCCCTAGTCTAAATGTCCAAAATTTTGACAATCTCAATACGGTCAAGATCATTGATTATAAAAAAACATAAATTTCAAGCTAAACAATATTGTCACTATCCTTGTGTGAATTTGAATGAATTTAACTAAATTTCAAATAATAACATTATTTTTTTTAATTTCAATTAATTATGTTTATTTTAAATTCACAAATCTTCATAAATGGTCCATTTAGTTTTCCAAATTATCAAAGTTTGGTCCATAACTTTTCTTCAGTCTCATGGAAGGTGCCTAGTCTCATGGAAGATACATGTGGTTTCAATTTTTATCGTGGTTGCCCCCTACCTGTATGAAAAGACTTAAATCCTTTTTATTTTTTTATTTTTTATTTTTTACCTACTTTCAATTTTTGTTTTTGAAAAAATAAGCCTACCCTCACCCTACTCTTCTCTCCAATAAAACTCATAAGAGCCCTCACTCTCACCCCTTGCCGATAACTCTCACATCTGGCTACCACCGCCACCATAATGATTCATCCTAGTCAGCGACTCTCACATCAGGCTATAACCACTTACATCAATTCTGTCACTACCACCACTACACACCATCATCACAAACAACTTGCATCAGTTATGTCACCACCACCACTACACACCTTTAATTTCAACCCAAACATTCAACCCTATGAAATCATCAAACATACATTTGATAAAAAAAATCCTTCACTAATTTAAACCCAGAATAACCCTTATTTCAATCAAGGAAAAAATCTACTTCTAGCAAACTTCTCCGGCAACCACCACGGTGGCTTGCTGAAACCCAAAAATTATGTAATCATTTCTCAAAACCATGAGTTAAACCCAAAAACTATAGATGAATATGTATTTAAACAGAAACCATAGATGAAATCAAAACCCTAGAAAATCATGGATAAAATCAAAATCAAACCATTCTAAACCAAATCTGAACATGATGAAATTAAAATGGAATGAACTAGAATCCAAAATTAAGTCAATGTCTAGAAAGCCAAAAACAATGGTGGTTTTCTAGGGTTTCAGTTGGTGGTTGTGGGAAGAAAAAATATGAATAATGGTGGGTATGTGATGGTGGTTTTTAGTAGGAGAATACGCGCGCGCGCGCGAGAGAGAGAGAGAGAGAGAGAGAGAGAGAGAGAGAGAGAGAGAGAGAGAGAGAGAGAGAGAGAGAAAGAGAGAGAGAGAGAGAGAGAGAGAGAGAGAGAGAAAGAGAAAGAGAGTAGAAGGGTGAGAGAAAGATCAAAAGCAACATGATTGGTGACAGAATGTTGACGACCTAAGGTTTAAGGCGATGCCGACGAGGATGATCAAGAAGAGGATGGTGTCCGACGACATCAGGGAAAAGGATGTAGTGGTTAGTTTCATTATTGTTCTGAAACAGGTGAGTGGATGTTGTTGATATCACCGGAGAGAGAAAGAAGAAAATGAGAGAGAGCATTAGTCACGTAGTAGATGGAGAGATGGGAGGAAGAGTGTGGAGTGAGGGGGAATACATAAACGTTTTACTTAGGATATATTTATTTTATTTATTTTTTAATAATTTTTATTAAAGAAAAAATAAAAATAATTAAAAATAATATAAAAGTCTTTTTATATAGGTGAGGACCAACCACGTTAGAAATTGAAACCATATGGACCTTCCATAAGATTAAAAGAAATTAAGGACTAAACTTGATATTCTAAAACACAAAACATTGATAAATATTTGTCCTTTAAATTTGTTATATTAAAATTTTGATCGAATTATATATATATATATATATATATATATATATATATATATATATATATATATATATATATATATATATATATATATATTAAATCACAAGGACCTTAGCAATAGTAACTTTTTGGGGTTTAGGATTTTGCCACAAATCTTTGGTGCATTTGACATTTTTCGCTCTTAAATTCAAAACTTTTATATTTTTGCGTTTTGATTAAGTTTTTCTGCCTTTTGGTTTTTGCCACAAATCTTTAGTGAGTTTGACACTTTTAGTCATTGCAGTCAAAAAATTTACCATTTTGATGTTTTTGCCACAAATCTTTATTGAATTTGACACTTTTCGTCATTATAATAAAAACTTTTACAATTTGACGTTTTACATTTTTGATGTTTTTACCACAAATCTTTAATGAATTTGATCTTTTCGTCATTGTATTAAAAACTTTTACATTTTGACATAAAAAAAATAAAAAAAAAAAAACTCTTTTTGAGTTTTGCACCATATTTTCTCAACTTTGACAACTTTAACATTATTGCCACAACATTTTTGAATTTTCTCCAGCAGTGTCCATTCTTTTGGTTGTACACTTTTAACATCTAATTTTAGGGGTTGTCGACTTTCTCCTCTATTTGTGGTGACTTACAATTTCAACACATATCTTTCAAAGTTTGCCGATCTTTCCCATATTACTCTAAAAGCAGCATAGCCGCGGGCTCTTTACTAGTTTGAATAAAATTTAAACAGATGATAATAGCATCAAATCCTAAATTAATTTAATGAAGTCATAATACATTACTTGTATAAATTAATTTCACTTTATTGCAATCAAAAATTAACAAACCATATTAGACTAACATGCTTGGTAGAAAATTTCTATTTTAGATCGGAGGTCCTAGGTTCTGTTTTGAGCATTGACGAATTTTACTAATTTGTGATATTAACTTTTAACCACTAATCAACCGTTATATATATATATATATATATATATATATATATATATATATATAACTTCTAAACATATTTCCAAATAATAAGTAGCATATATATTGGTCCATATAATAAGTAGAATATATATTTCCATATTTATTGTGATTAGACATATTAACAAGCCTATAAAAATGTTTTTTGGAATATCGTTACAAAACATGAGTTTGTTCAAAGTGACGAATAAATCGGTACACCTGGTAAAGTGGTTCCTGCATCTACAATAAAAATGTTACCAGTGATGTAGTTCGATGAGTCGTGGATTAGATATCTAACCAGCGAGGTCAAAGCAGGGTCGATAGTGCCAAATTCTCTCAATGCTATGATCTTTGAGGCCACATTCTTAAGCATTTTTTGTTGAAAGAGCACCTTTGTAATCTCAGATTTAAAAAGGCCAGGACATATTGAGTTTACCCTTATTTTGTGGTTCCCAAGTTCCATGGACATCACTTGTGTCATGGTATTCAAGGCTGATTTTGAACAAGAATATGCGATACTTCCACGAAACTGGACACGATTAAGACCCGAAATAAAAGACATGTTGATTATTGATCCTCCTTGATTGAAAGCAAGCATCTGACGAGAAACATACTTCGACACCAACCATGATCCTTTAAGATTTGTTCTAAAGGTTTTTTCCCACTCTTCTTCTGATAAATCCATTGCGCTATCTATCGGTCCTAAACACATGTTACAACATAAAATAAAAAGTAATTGAAGATTGAGACAAAGTTCCTAGAATTTTATTTATGTTACATTAAACATAAAGGTATAACTACTTTATGGGGAATTACAAGCATCTAATACATCAAGATAATTCAAATAAGAAAGCGATCTAAATCTAAACCTCATATAATGTTCTGAATTGACATATACAACAAATCTAAACTTAAAACAAAAACAGATATAAATATAATACCGTTATATAATAATCATATTATATAGTCTTAGATACTAATAGAGATTATCTTACTTTCAATATTTACATTTAGTGTAGTTTCCATATTTAAGTATTGTACTCTATAAATACCTTTGAGATCAATGACAAATATACAAACAATATTTTGAATATACTTTCCATATTTAGGCTTAGTTTAGTATAGTTTTCATATTTAAGTATTGTCTTTTATAAATACATTTGAGATCAATGAGAATCATACAAAAAGTATTTTGAACATTTTATTTGTTATCATCGTATCAAAGCATTACATTAAACCCTGCGTCATGGACCACAACCTTCGGCGACATTATTTAGCCATCGTCGAAGGTTCCTTCTCTATCCACCTCCTATCCTTTCATCTCTCTTAAACACCTTGTCGAAAATTACTTTTCTCTACAGTGATATATGATTTATATACCTATCTCTCTACTTATTGTATCTATCTTTCTCTAAACCAAGCCATCAACCAGACACCACACCATATCCTTATGTTTTTCTGGTGTTCTTTTCCTTTTAATAAGACCACACCCAACCCTCTTTTACAAAATTAATAAAGTCTTAACCTTTTGTTCTTGAATCCATCTCCTCCTTCTGTCAGTTAAACTTCTTTTATTAGTTTCTTTTATTAACATCATGACTACTCCAAAGCCTCCATCTTCCTTTCATGTTCCTAACATTAACACTGATTTGGTTCATCTCTTTATGCTCTCAAATGAAGCTTCTTGGTGTGTGGTTTCTAAACAGAAGATAATTTTGTTTGTTCTCTCTACCATTTTTATCCCTCGGTACATATAAAAACCATAGAACAAGCTCTTCATACACACACACACACTATATATATATATATATCCCGTAAGAACGAAATATTTGGTAGGAATGGTAAGAAGTGCATCATTTGTATGAATTTTAACGAATCAACAAAATGAATCTTTAGATAATACAAAAACAATATGATTTGCAAAAGCAACTCCAAAAAAAGCACATTGATGCTTCATTTTTTATATGAGTCACTAAAGTCGTCCGAAAAGTGAATTAAAATTTGATTTAGTAAAAAAAAAATGAATCATTAATGCTTTTTTTGAGATTGTTTTATGAATCATGTAATTTTGTATCATCTAATGATTCATTTCGTTGGTTGACTAAAAAACTTGCAAATTGTGCACTTTCTTACACTTTATATATATATATATATATATATATATATATATATATATATATATATATATATATATATAGTCAATATTTTTATTGAAACTTTGGTCTCACACAAACAATAAAGAATACATACATACATACACACACACACACACACATATATATATATATAGATATAGTAAGTCCAATTAGTTATATTAATAAATGTTAGGAATGTGAGAATGTGTTGTGACATTAAACCTGAATTTGACATGGGAAAATGATAAGAACACAATCGACACGATATGATTTGGTTAACATGATATTGTAATAAACTATTCCGAGGAAATTACAAAAAAGAAATTACACTCTATCTACCCTGGGCTAAAGCATCTCAACTCACATAAGAACTACATCTTGTCACACACACACACACGGGGAGTACAACATGCCTATTTATAGGTATGTACAAAAGTCAAGGTAAGTAACCCACATAAGTCATAAAGAGGGCCATTGTCATCATCCATGTACAACATGCCTATTTATAGGTATGTACAAAATTCAAGGTAAGTAACCCACATAAGTCATAAAGAGGGCCCTTGTCATCATCCATGTAGAACTTTGTATCCAAAGATAATCCGAAACCAAACCCACCCTGAAACCCCCTTCAAAACCAAAAATCAAAATCACTTCATAACTTTGAAGAAACCCCCCCCCCCCCCCTATATGTCACAATGATCTTCAAATAAGTAGGTTCAAATAAAAAATCAAATAAAGTGGGAACGTGAGAACACTTCTTAGCCAATCGTTTAATTTAACTAATCTTTTAAAAAAATATTTATAAAAAGGTATTTTAGGTATTTGTTATAGTCATTAATAACCAATTTAAATTCAAACCCTAATTTTATGGGAAAAAATTCTAGCATCCATTTGATGTTCTTGTTTCCGTCAAGATAAAATAAACCTACACATAATTTTAGCCCAAATTTAAGAAATGATACCATGCCTTTTGGAGTTTGGTTTCTCTATTTCCGTCAAAATAAAATAAATGATAATGCATCCATTTTACATTTACGTTTAGCATGTACAATCACTAAAATATTGTGTTTAAATTGTAATGTCCTCTCTCAAATCGTTTCCTATTTGGGTGTGGGTGACGTAGTTTAGATGATTCGAGTGTTTGGTTTATGTTTTGGAGCCATGGGGTATTTTGGTTAAGTGTCAGATCGAGCTTTTATGGAAATTGGATTTCTGTTTGGGAAATCCTAAGGCATGTATGAGTTGATAAAAGTGTAGAGCTTCTCGTTACCTTTTCGTGAATATAAGGATCGTCGAAATTGGATTTATAATGAAGAAGTTATGGTCCATGGAGTATTTTAGGGTTTAAGGGTAACCCTAGTATTTGGTGTGTACTAGTGGGAAGTGAAGTAAGCGGGGTGTACACTGGTGTATGCTTAGCGTACCAAGATGGAATGATTGCGAAGCCTCGGCCTCGTACGCTGGGCGTACGAGGAGTACGTTGGACGTAGGAGGAGTGCAAGAAACCTTAATTTTGAGTGTGTTGTACCCTCTCTAAGCACCTTAAGTCTTTAGGCTGGCCTCTTTACCAACCCCAAACCTCCTAAAACCCTAAATCGACCCTTAAGCCTTCTTTGTGGTGTTCTTGAGCTCTTGAGAAGATTTTGGTGGTTATTTTTCCTGTTAAGAAGGAAGTAACGAAGATTAAATGTGCTTTGCTTAGTGAGGAGCCTATAGATCTAGAATCATCACCCTTTTTGAAAGACTTTTGAGGTATCAAGTTCCTACCTTGGCTTGTAGATGTTTACATCTGTTTATGGCTCGATTTTTTATGTCTTTTATCCTTTTTTGGGTTGGTTGTTGAGTTAATACGATTACAAGACTTATCCTTTTAGATATGAGCTTATTAGGATTTCTTTATGCATAAAGGTGCCAACTTTATGGGCTGGGTCTCATGCATGCATTAAGTCGCATATTAAGTCTTTTTAGGCTTAAGAGCTTCATTTAGCAATGCATGAACACAAAATTTGTAAATTTACAAGATAAATCAGTCTAAGGAAGTCAGATCTAGGTTGTGTAGTAAAGTTTTTGTGGAATAAGAGCTTAATATGGAAGTTAGTTGTATGCGAGGGTACAATGGGCGTACAAGCATGTACGCTTAGCGTACAAGCCCTAAGGCAAGTACGTTGTGTGTACGAGCTGAGTATGCCTTGTGTACTTAGCAAAGTGGGCCTAAGATCTTTTGGTCTTTGGTTTGGGCCATAGCTTGGGCTTAGATGTTTAGGGCCTTGTTGGGCCATCAGAATTTAAGTGTTTTGGGCTAAGAATTTTGTTGAACCTTGGATTAAGGCCGATTAGAGGGTTTGGGCCCAATTTGGAAAATTGGGCCATGTTTGGGCCTTGCTTGATTATTTGGTATTTCGGCCTTTTGGATTGTTAGGTTTGGGCTTAAGTTTTGGTCCAAACTAGGTAATGGGTAAATTGGTCATTTACCCTAATTATGGTATGTTGGTTATGGATTGGAATCCAATTGTTGATTGGATGTTATTTGATATTGATAGCTCGGGGATTTTTGGATCAGTAGTCATGGAGTTATCAGTGTGATTCAACAGTCTGAGGTAAGTCCCTTCCCGGTATTACGGGTCGAAGGAACCAAGGCCGGCCCATTATCTAGATATGTAGTATGCTAGTTGATGTGTAATACATGTTGTGATCGGGTTGAAACACACCCCAGGGCGGGGCCTAATATGGCATGACGGGTTGAAATATACCCCATGGTAGGGCCCACTATGACATGTTCGGGTTGAAATATACCCCAGGGCGGGGTCTACTGTGATATGTTCAGGTTGAAATATACCCTAGAGTGAGGGCCTAGGGCGGGTCCCATACTTGCTTTTCGGGTTGGAATGAACCCCAGGGTTGGGCCCATTTGTATGATTGGTATGTGGTATGTTAGGGAACTCATTAAGCTTTGTGCTTACGGTTTTCATTTTATGTTTAACGTACTTTTGTTTTAAAAAGGAAGAGCTCGGTATGATTGCAGAGCACACACCACCCCATTCCACATTTTCTTAACTTACTTTGATATAATGTAATGATTGACACATTTGTCTTATCTGGATTCTTATGATGATGCTTATGGAATACTAGTTCTTTTAATTTAAAATGAAAATTTTGGGTCTTATTATTGGGACGTTACAAGTTGGTATCAGGGCCTTAGTTTAAGGATTCGACACACTCTCGAGTGTGACTAAACTCAAACTAAGGAGTTGATGATTTTCTTAAAACGAAAACGGGTTTTAAAAAGATTTTTGAAAAAGGAAAGAAACTATCAAAAAGAGTTTTGTAAGGATAAAAGGGGTGTGATGCATGCAATCAGCCGAGCTCAAGTAAATTTTCCTAAAATACCTATACATGTTATTTGACATGATATGATATATGAATTTGTGAATCGCATGCTAGTTAGGGCTAAGGATCTACTCAATTTTTGCATGATAGAATGCTAGGAGAGATGCCTAAGTATGCCTATTGTATGAGATGGTAGACTTGCATGCCAATGCTGATTAGTCAA